CAATTTCTCGCTGGGCAATCTCTCCCTCGCCTCTCTCACTATATACAAACACAAATGTATAAAATGCGTTTGTGTTTGTATAAAGCAAGAGAAAACTGTATATATACATATTTTTTAGTTCGCCTCTCCCCAGAGAATCTTGCTCGCCACTCTCACTCTCCTCTCTCACTTTATACAAACACAAATGTATAAATTGTGTTTGTGTTTGTATAAAGTGAGAGAAAATTGTATATACAAATACAAATACATATATTTTCGTCCTATACACTTATAATTATACAAATACAGATCTTCCCCTTCCCATATTTCTTTTGTCTGTCTCTCTTTCTCGCTTTATACAAGCACAAATTATACAATTGATTCTTTTGTATATGTATACCGAAACAAGTTATACAATTGATTCTTCTGTATATGTATACCAAACTATACATATTAATAGCCATAACAAATATAAAGTTTGCTATGGAGCGCAATTATACAAACTATAGCTATAGCATACAAATATAATTTTTATATTTGTTAAACCTAAAATTTACTCAATTAATTGTTTTGTATCCTAAAATTGCTCATTCTTTTAGTAAACTATTTAACATGATTTTTAATAGGTCGAAAATCTATTAGTCTACCAGTACCACTTCCCCATCCTCTAATATCTACAACCCCCCCCCCCCCCCCCCCCCCCCCGAATATCTAAGTATTGTACCAAACTTACATTGACCATCAATTTACAGATTTCACTACTTGTATATATTCAAGTTTGTAATATTAAAAATTTTACTAGATTTTGGTGCGTCAAGATACATTCGTATATATGTATCTCGAGATACATGAATCAAAATTAGGTGTAATTTATTCTAGAGACATCGTATCCAAGTGAATTTGTTCGCCTCTCTCATACATCACTCGCTATTCTCTTATGTATTTGGGATTCACACCAGATACATGTATATTGTGTGATTCGCATGTATATGGGATACATGACTATTTCACTTCACTCTCTCCCTATTTTAGTGTATTGATTAGTAAAATTACACATATATATGTAGGTGTATCTTGCTCAATATATAATAAGAAATTCTGAATTAGTGATAAGATACAAAATTATTTAAAAATATAAATAGAATTAATATATATATGTCTAATAAGGTAGTTTTCCTATAAAATCAGCCATGGGCTTCAAAGGAAAAATGGAAAACTGATTGGCCAACCAATTATTGGATCCAAATGCCTCCAATTTCGGAAACAAAAGAGTTGAGCCCAAAGTTTAGTTTGTTTCTTTTTTGGGAAAATTAGTAATTAAGTCATAATATCTAATATAATTAGTCAAAATAACAATACTTTAAAATATTTATTTAACATGGCAGAATGACAATATTTTTATAAAATAATATGTATTCAGATTTTAGTATTTTAAATTAATTTTATTTATGGAAAGAGTTCTATATTGGACCAAATTATATACCAATAACCGTTTAAAGTGAAAAATAAATAAATTAAACCTATACCATTAACCTTTTTTCATCACCATTCACGTTTCTTCCCCAACTTTCACGTATTCCTAATCTTGTCGCTCCAAGTATTCCCACACATCTATCTCAACATCCTCATCTCCGCAACATGCCAAGTTTATCTTTCTTCAAGGTACTAAATTGTTGTTCATCAAGAAATTTTCTTTATTGTTAAACGAAATCTCTTTATTAATTCAAGCAGATTTCTCGGTTGGCAAGGTGATTTTCATTATCCATTTCGATTAGTTATTTTGATTTTCTTTTGATTTGTTTTCAATATCACCTTTTTATGGTTTATATTTCTACATTGTATATATTTACGGATTTTCCGTTCAATTTTTTATATTTTTATGCAAGTTTGTTTACATATCATCTAATATTTATGTATTTTCAATTAGTTATTTAGAATTCTTTTGATTTATTTTCAATATCACCATTTATGATTTATATTTCGCATTGTACATATTACGGATTTTCGTTAATTTTTCAATTTTTATGCAAGTTTGTTTACATATTCATGTAAAATTCATGTATTTTAGATTTTTAGTTAATTAAACAAATTTTTTTCGATTTTTTTTCTGATTTCGTTTTAATATTTCAGATTTATTAGAATCTACAAATTCATTCATATGTTTATTTTGTTTGATTTTTAATACATTTATATTTGCTTTTAGGGTTTTAGATTTGGGGAAAGCATTTGTCTGTCTACAATGTCTGAATCAACAGTTTATTTGTGTATTCATTCTATCTATATATCAACAAGTTTTACATTTTTTGTTTTTACATTGTATTTCAATCTCAATTAGTATACCAACATGTTTGTATTTCCTTCTTAATTTGTATTCATCCTAACTGTATGCTAACAATTTTGTATTTTATTGGGTATTCATTCTGTATTTCAATCTCAATTTATATGTGAACAAGTTTGTATTTCTCTTTTGTTTTGTATTCAACCTAATTGTATACCAACAAGTTTTGTATTTTATGTGCCTACTTTACCTTTCAAAGTCTTCAACATATAGTTCATCATCGATTAGTTACATTAACTTAATGGGATACAAATTATTGTATCCATTCAAACAGAAAAAACAGCTACTGAACTAAAAAAAAAAAAAATTTATTCATTATACATCATAATTTGGATACAAAACATCCGAAAAAAGCTATAAATCCCAATGTCGGAAAAAGCTAAAAATCTCAATACTTCCAAATATTTCACTGATTCAATAAAAAAAAATCAACCCAATCTTGTAGTCGAGATATACGAATATCTCATCCAATCAAATAAAAAAATCGATCAAAAAAATACTTGATTGTTTTCCGATTTTTCAACGATAAATGTCAAAATCTCTTGAATTCACTGGATGAGAGAAATTTCTAGTTGTGAATTTGAAAATTTCCGTTTAAAAAATATGCCGAATTTAACTCGAAGAAGCTTTGAAAGTTATCAGATGAATGATTCGGAAGACAAACTAAATTATTTTAATTTTTTTTTTTTGATATTCTTAAGAAGAAAGCAAAAAAAACGCTCGACGGAAAGATGGCTATTATTCTCTTTCAAAACGTAACTAATTTATATTTATTTATTTTTTTACCTTTTTAATTTTTTTTTGTTCCATGATAATTATTTGTATTCTTTCAATTTAATCAAAACAAAATAAATACATAACTCATTCCTTAACAAACTAAAATAATGACATTTTTAATAAATAATGAAACTGTTGCTAAGGAGTCCCATTAAAAGCTAAAATATTGTTGTTTTGAAAATTTTCCCTTGTTTTTTTCACCATACTTTTTCTAAAGGGAATAAAAGAAATTTTTTCACAACAAAAAAACATGTTAAATGACTTTGAGTTTGAGAGGTATACTATATTAGATCGAATTGTTAGTTCAAAGTTCAAACAGTTTACCCATAATAAATTTCAAGGCATTTAAGAGAGCAATATATATTCATCAAAATTCGTTTATCAATACGTTTATTTAGAATGACAAAATTGACAATAAATGTGCTTATATTCTAACTTATGAACTGGTAGTATAAAAAAATTGATATCAATGTAACTTAATTGGTCATAACAAGTTAATTTACCTCAATTTTTGGATTGAAGACTCACACTATCAGAAACATGAGTTTTTTTCATCGAGAACTGTGGAAGTTGATTTTTCTATTCATTTTCCTCTAAATCAATTCACTGGGAAAATACATGGTGGAAACATATTTTCAATGAAATAATGAAAAACTTCATAATTTTTTCATATAAAAACATTGTTACTATTTTTTTCGTTTCTCACAAGTTCAATTAAAATATATGTGGGAATAACACTGAACATTTTTTAGTGAGATTCTTTTTAAATGTTCTTTCTTATATTGTTTTCCCTTTGTCATGTGGTTTGGCCGGGGGCCCTTTTGTACGGGACCCTTATCAATTCCAACGGCAAGTTGAAATAATGATCGGGCTCAACGCATAAGGAAGAACGCGATAGGAAGAATGTAATTATAGAGAGGTTAGTCTTAGCGGATTGAGAATATAAGTAAGGATTACATATCGGACAATCGAGATTCAACAGATGAAAGAAGAGAGATTTTAAACCCGAAAATCAACATTAAGTCAATTATGATCAAATAGGTAGGAGGGTATTCACACTACTTTCAAATCGCCCTTCTAACAAAATAATCTTTGCATGTATGATGGATTTTGTTAGGAATTTTCTCAGAAATACATATTATTTTTCTAAAGTCTCTTAGGTTTGTAATCTATCCTCATTCTTAAGCTCAACTTATTTTAATAGTAGTAGTTTATATTAAAGCAAGAATTTTTAAATGTCTCATCATTTCCATGATTTTTCTTCTTGGACTGAATCATACATATAACTTATGCTATAGTATAATAATTTACTAACATATTCTGAGTCAAAATATAGTATCTCACTAAATTTCAGCTTAGACGGAACAAAAAACACTAGGTATTTTATTATTATTATTTTTTGTATAGCTTTAGTAGACAAAGTTATCTGATACTTATTGTTAATGAGTAACATGTAATTCATGAAATTTATCGAAATACGTACAAACTTACTCGATCACTATAATTATAAATTAAAATTAGAAAATGAAATAGTATCTTAGTGGGTACACAAATCTCCATATCTTCAACTAACCATAGAAAAAAGATCCATGCCAAGAAATATGATTAAATTAGAAAAACCACAATTCAAATTTCTAACAACTTTCTACAATTGGGATACAACTTGTATTATAAGATACCTCAAGTACCAATATATAACTATTCCAAAAATACAAGGGTAGAGAAGTGGGACCCATGCATTTCACCAATGGTAGCAGCAGTAGTAGGAACAAAGCATTAGATTCTGCTCCTTATTTCCTCCGTTTAATCTAACTTTGCGTAATACTCTCTAACCAATTCCCATTTTTTCTCTCTCATCTTTCTCAGGTAACAATTTTCTCACTCATTTCACTTTTCTAAGCTTCCATTTTCCCGGAAAACGCCGGAATTTTCTATTTTCTCCCCGGAATTCTCCATTTCCTTTTACAGTTTTGCTTATAACAGAAATTTCTTTTTTCGCAAAAAAGAAGAAGTAATAGTAGTTTTCTTCCTCCTCCTTCGTAGATCTTCAAGTTTAGAGTTTTGTGACTTTCATTTTAGAAAAAAACTGATAGTAGTGCGTTGTATGAGAGGTTAAATTTTGCTTCATTCACCATTTTTTCGACTGTTCTCCGGCTATATATTTCTGTATTGGTTTCGAATTATGGATGATAATTTTTCCAGAAGAGTCGATGTTAACTGTCAGGTCGATATGATTTGTTGTTGGTGTGCAGGTGTCGAGTGGAAAATTAACAGGCAGTACAAATGGAGATCATGCTTAACAACACTGTGCTAACGTGCGCTTCCACGCTTTTACCCTCCACTCAGGTTAGTACTTCAATTAAATATTGCCAGTTTTAATCTGGAAAAAGCTTATATCCTGTGTTTTATATTTTAAAAAAAACTATACTATTGTTTTACCATGATGAGTGGAAATTCAACTCAAAATCTTATTAGTAATTGAATAAATTAATAGTGTATATAAAATATTGAAACACACATTTCTAATTGTGAATAAATATTTTCGGGTCAGTATCAAGTTTTTGCGTCAAAAGAAATTAAAAATATAAAATTAGTAAACCTAAGGAAGAAGTCTCTTTTTTGTTTTTCTCAGAAATCCAGTGCTTTTCTTCTCTCTCTCTATTTTATTTTTCTTTTAGTTTTGGATTAACCCCTTAGTAAAAATGAATCTGCAGAAACTTAGTTTTCCATATGCAATTTTCAGAATTTAAGGCCCGTTCCGGTCCAGAGTCAAAGTCAGAATTAAGAGTTTGAATTTTAAATTTCATTAATAACCGTTAATTAATTTTGTTAGGAGTACACAAATTAATTTACATATATATTTAATTATTTTTCTAGTATAAATATAAACTTTACGGAAAAGCACCATAAAAATTATGAATTTTAAAAGGAAAAAAATCATGTGAGTTAAAAATGATATTTGAATATTGAAGTTACGGTTGGACATGAATAGAAAATACTATTTTTTTAACGAGTAATTTGAAGTAAAAATTATGAAAACTTCATTTTGAAGTTTTTAAAATATCTATCCACCGCCAAAGTAACTGACACGAAAAACTCAAGAAGAAAACGTGAAGGAAGTATATCTAAAAATAGAATTGCGTAGCATTAATTTCCTCACTACTTTTTCAACGTGTGCAGTTACTAACGTGCGCCTAAACGGTAACGGGTTTATTCTCGTGTTCGGAACTGAAACGGAATGTTAATTTGGCATATATTTGCCATTTTGGGTTCCGGGGTTAGTTGATGAATGAGGAGGGGTCCACTAAATATTATATAGTCTCCACTGCCAATTATGTTAATTCTGCAAAATAGATGCTGCAACTTCTGCCTCTTTGCAGTGGACTAATTTTAGTTTTTTTAATTACTAATTTAGTATTTTTTGAGGAAATAATTAAATTCTTGATGAAATTTTTTAATCCTGGAAAGGTCAAGTTTGCCTTAATATTAAAAAGGATGTTAGAGTAAAATATTGAATTGTAAAAACATGTTTTTCTAGGTTGACTCAGTCTGGAGAGAATATTATATGGGAATATTCTATCAAGAGATGATTAATATTATGTTTTCTAATTAGGCTGGCCTCACACATTAACATAGCAATAAATACATGTACTGCAAATAGTAGGGGATGGTCCAAGTTTTGGGCTCATACATTTTAGCTGTGGACTTGGGCTTAAAATTGTCCCATCTGTGCAGGTCCAATTTGTAATATGCCCAAGTATGCAATATGGGCTCATTTCAGTTATGTTAATATGAGGTGTTGAGTTCGAGTCGCGTTGGACTCTGGGTATGAGGGTCACCTTTGTTAAGGCGCGTTTTATATTCCTAGAATATTCATTTACAATGATGTCTTTAAATAATTCCAGGATGGTGTGCCACTGTTGGCAATTGGGACCAAAGTCAAGGGAGATCAGAACACAAATGATGAGCAAACCAAAGTAGTTGATGCTGATGAGGAAGGTGGAGATGGAGACGACAAAGATGAGAATGGAAATGAAGGATTTGAGGAGGGCGAAGAAGAGTATTCTGATGAAGGAGTTCATGGAAACAATCCCAACAAAAGCAAAGGAAATGCCAAGAAAAGCAATGGAGAAGGTGAGGAGAATGGAGGTGCAGAAGATGAAGAGGATGGTGGTGAAGAAGGTCATGATGATGATGGTGACGATGATAATGATGATGACGATGATGAAGGAGATAATGATGACGATGATGGTGGAGAAGGGGAGGGTGAAGAAGAAGAAGAAGTCGTGGAGGACGATCCAGAAGATGATGATGAAGAGGATGAGGAAGAAGAAACTATCCAACCTCCAAAGAAGAGGAAGAAGTGAACAAATGACCACCTGAAGTTAGTTTAACTTGAGAGGGAGAATCATCCATTATGCTTTTTAATTACCTTTCATTTGAAGTTATTTAGAACTTTGGAGCTTTTATTTGAGCAAACAAGATTCTCCCTTCAATTTTTCACATGTCTCTTTACTTAACAAGTCAATTATCACCAATAGTTTCTACTTGCACACAAGAATCATTGATATAATACTCAGTTCTGAATATCATCATTTGATTTTCTGAGCATCATCATTTCAAATTATGTTGTTCGATTCTTCATTTCAAATTAAAATAGGTCCGCCTTTTGAATAAAGATGGACAAGAACAACACTTTTGATGTTTGACAATTGAAGCAAAAACTATTTTATTCTTCTATTTGGATGTTAGTTGTTGAAGTAACTTTTATAACAATAATAATAACTAGAACGATTATTTTAAATAAAATACAATGATGGAAGCCTTTCAACTATACATTTAAACTAAAAGGCCACATGTAAATATTTGACCCCGGCCTGAGGCTGCTGTTTTACTTAATTTGTTAAGGTGAAGACTCAAATAAATTCATCTCCTCCACCAATCCTTTTTGGTCGCATTCTAAATCAATTGACACCATCCTGGGCAATTACTTTTGCCTTCCACAACAGCCAAGGAAAGTACAAAGTGGTTGCATAGAAAAGCTTGTTGCAGGAATATCAGTTCAATTAGCATGACTCGAGAATCTTTGGCTAACAGTCATAGAAGAGGATCAAGATTTTCGATTTTGTAACCAGGGGAGGGGGGGAATGTGGTGAAAGCATATTTGTCTTCAAACCATGGGTGTTTGCTTGGGTGCAACACCGTCACGCTTTCTATAAAGCTAAAACCACCTTCACACTATTTACAATTCATGAATGTTTGAACTTAAAGTCAATTTTACAAGTTTTTTTCCTCCAGAAGCATCTCTCCGTCCTTGGATGTCTATGAAACACGAGAAGAAAAGAAGGGAAGTTATTTTATGATTAAATCTGAAGAGTCAAAAGAAGAAGATCAAACAGGTGAAAAACAAAATGCTTTAGAGATGCACAACATGATGATCACTAATGATTTCCAGCACTTCTTATTTGCCTAAATACCCATGATCAGCTCTAAACTTCCTACGGTACCAAACAAAAAGGCCATCATCAAGAGGTCTAGTATCGAGCAGTTTTACATCACCCACACAAACACATTTTAATGCCACATCATGAACGTATATTTACAGCATGATGATCACTAATGATTTCCAGCACTTCTTATTTGCCTAAATACCCATGATCAGCTCTAAACTTCCTACGGTACCAACAAAAAGGCCATCATCAAGAGGTCTAGTATCGAGCAGTTTTACATCACCCACACAAACACATTTTAATGCCACATCATGAACGTATATTTACAGCATGATGATCACTAATGATTTCCAGCACTTCTTATTTGCCTAATACCCATGATCAGCTCTAAACTTCCTACGGTACCAACAAAAAGGCCATCATCAAGAGGTCTAGTATCGAGCAGTTTTACATCACCCACACAAACACATTTTAATGCCACATCATGAACGTATATTTACAGCATGATGATCACTAATGATTTCCAGCACTTCTTATTTGCCTAAATACCCATGATCAGCTCTAAACTTCCTACGGTACCAAACAAAAAGGCCATCATCAAGAGGTCTAGTATCGAGCAGTTTTACATCACCCACACAAACACATTTTAATGCCACATCATGAACGTATATTTACAGCTAAACATGAAGAAAGAACCCAGCCACTAGGAAAGACCAGAAAATTGAGTGTGCAACCATGTAAACTCAGCAAAGAAGCCTGGATTAGCTAATATTGTATATATGTATTATCAAATTACTCAAAGAAACAAGACAATTCAGATATTAGTAGTCAGAATCGAACACTAGGAATGGAATTATATTAACCCCAAAATTATAGAAATCTGAAAGAATCACACACTATCAGGGTATTAATAAGCATGTTATGTTAACGTGACAAAAAAAGCTCATTTTACCTTCATGAGTTAGGGCACTATATACAATGAAGTAGCCATCCAAGAAGTGGCTTATTTCTTTGTTGCATCAATAAACATGGCTCGGGTCCAATGTTCAACATCTTCTGTATGTGATGGAGGAGGAGGAAAAGGAGGGTGCTCAATAAGATCCCAGTCTTCAATTAAATTTTCATTCCTTCTTGCATCAGATACTTCAGTGGCATAAATTAAATTGCCACTAGAACTTGGAAGAGCATTTTCAAATGTATTTCTCTGCAAAGTTATTAATGTAATTAGCTTTGTTGTTAACTACTTTCAAAATTTATTTATACTAGAAAAGCTAAAAAAAGTATAGTTGCAACAATAAAACTAACAAGAAAACAAATAATAGGCCAATTCATAAAGAATTTCATATTGTTATGCCCCAGTTATCATAGTCACTAAAACAAATCCACAAGTAAACTACGCCGACACATCCTGAAAACCACAGCAACAATTCCGAAAGATTTTAAAGAAATTGGAGTTTACAGGATTTGTGGATTATCTATACTTTGCAGTCAATTTGCCCGGGAGATGCGTACAGCCATTTTTAGATACAGCAATATGCAGTTCTTAGATTGAGAAGACTACTTGTCAATAATAGGAAATATTTGATAAATTAGTTTAAAAGCTAATTTTTCTAAAAAGCAAACTGATTAATATTTTTATATTAAAAAAAAAATAATCTATACTTTGCCGTTCTTACTAAAAATTATGTTTCCCCAATAAAAAGATTTCATCAAGTTCTGAAAATTATAAGAAAACTTAATTAAAACTAAGATTGCTCAATTGAAGTCGGGGGAAGAAATTATCTTTGCATACATAGCAAACTCAATAGTTACGAAGTATGCATAATCAAGAAAACTCAATTCGAGACTTATAAGAATTGCCTATAAATATTTGAGTTATGTGAGATCCTACTTATCATAGAAGTTCATTGCCACATTATTGAGTTCATCTTTCCCTAGCATAAGGTCATTTTTTTCAATAAACTACTTCATACTGCAAGAAAGCAAAGGAAAAGATTTGTAGTCATCAAGAGTGGATGATGCATTTTGCTGCTAATGAATATTAGACAATCATATAATGCTCAACAGAAACAAACATTATATACAGAAAATCTCATATCTTTTGTAGTTATGAAACCAATACTAAGACCTATGCATCTATACCAAAAATACTGGCGCATGTTCACTCAACATACTAGTACCAATGTTTTTAATTCCAATACTATGTTATGGTGAACTGAATCCAAAGATGGAAACTATACCAATACTGGCACATGTCCACTCTCCATCAAAGTGCTAGATGATCCGGCTGAATCTACATTCCAAACAGATTTGTTCAGTGGTTGGACTTGCTTGGATGCCCTACATATTATAAAATCAAATGACTGAATACAGGCCACTGCTGAATAAATCAGAGGTTTCAATGACATGAGAAGTAAATTTCTTTCATTAAATAGTATGGAGTATAGATCTAGAACTATGATACATAAATGAAAGAAATATGTACCTTGAACCAGACATTTTCAAAGAAAAAACAGACCGAACTTCCTTTGAAGAAGAAAGTGTAGCCAACAATCTTGCAAATGTTTCGAAGGTAGAGGCTTCAGCAGGAACTTCTAAACATAATGTGTTGTAACAGTATGCAGTAATGCAAGCAACACTTTTCTTGAGAAGTGCTATGCCTTTCTGCAGATCCTTGTGTGTTTCTATTGAGTGCAGGGAAGCAGAAGCATAGTTGAAACTGCTACTACTAGAAGAATCCAACCGAGGTTTTCTATCAGATTCCATCGAGGTAACTCCAAAGTTACTAGAAGTTCCAGAATTACTGCAACTTCTGTCGTACCATGAAGCCTCCCCACCTGAAGAGCAAAAGTTTTGGCGCGGGATAAAAAGTGGGTACTCGCCACTGCATTGCATGAGTAACATCAGTAAGAAAATTTTAATCTCTTTAAATGGGGAAAGGAACAATAAATTTCTACATTACAATTAAAGGAATACCTTCTAGACGACGGACGGGCATCCCAGTAAGAATCTCGTTGCCATATTCGAGAACATGAACCCTAATGTAATAAACACAGACACATGAGAATTTAAAAAAACTTGGTCCGGATTCAAGATTAAACAAATAGGTTATCCTTTGACCATCTATGAGTCGTGACTCTGCCAAAAAAGCAGGTGGATTCACTACGGTCTGAAAGGCACTAGAAAATTGTTTTGCTATACCTCTAGCATAAAATAAAATTGCAACAATTCTCTTAAGTAAAGATTTTTGTACTTATTCAGCTCTGATAGGGAATGTACCCTAAAGACATTTGTGGCTCAACTACCAAAAGAACTACAGAAGGTTGTCTGAGCATACCGCAAATCCTGAATTATGAAGTGCAGGAGCACAGACGCAACGAATAACGAGGTTCAAAAGTTGCACCATATATCTGCTTTCAATCGTCGAAAATAAAATCATTAGAATATATTATCAACCAACCAAAATGGATATTCTACAAATATATAGTAAAAGTGTTGGATAATTATCTCAATCAATTCAACATGTGGATAATAAATAGGCGGTGCTTCATTTCAATGGCAGGATAATGGTTCACAATCTTAGGTATCTTAGGGGAGTTGCAAATCGTACTACATAACTCAATTTGCTACAGTAAATGATATTTCCTCCATTTCAATTTATATGGCATAGTTTGACTTGATATGGGGTTTAAAAAGAAAGAAAAGACTTTTGGAATTAGTGATCTTAAACATGCCATGAGATTTGTGTGGCTATAACAGCATGCTATTAAGGGTAAAATGAGAAGCTTAAAGTTAAATTATTTCCAAATATAGAAGGTATCATTCTTTATGGAACGGACAAAAAAGGAAATAGTGCCACATTAAAATGGAACGGAGGAAATATAAGATTCTAAAATACACCAGACAAACGACATCCCAAGAAAATGTAAGACAACAACATACCCAGTGTAATTCCACAAGTGGGGTCTGGGCATCCTAAGAAATGTATGCACATGCATTTCACCTCATGCTTTCGAAATGACTGGATTCATTCTGTGCACCTTAATCAGCAAATAGCACTCTTGGCCTATCTACAACTAACTATTCATTTACTTGCAGCAC